GCTAAGGCCGTCGCCACGAAAGAGTTCGATACTATTCGAACCACGACGGATTAACATTACGACATTAAGTCAAAATAACACCCCACGGCTAAGGCCATTGCCATAGAAGAGTTCGACACTACTCGAACCAAGACGTGTTAACATTTCGACATTAAGTTGAAATAACACCCCACGGCTAAGGCCATCACCATAGAAGAGTTTGACACTATTCGAACCACGATGGGTTAACATTTCGACTTAAGTCGAAATAACACCCCACGGCTAAGGCCATCGCCACGAAAGAGTTTGATACCATTCGAACCACGACGGGTTAACATTTTGACATTAAGTCAAAATAACACCCCACGGCTAAGGCCATCGCCATAGAAGAGTTCGACACTACTCGAACCACGATAGGTTAACATTTCGACATTAAGTCGAAATAACACCCCACGGTTAAGGCCAGCGCCATAGAAGAGTTCGACACCATTCGAACCACGACGGGTTAACATTTCGACATTAAGTCGAAATAACACCCCACGGCTAAGGCCATCACCACGAAAGAGTTCGATACCATTCGATCCACGCGGGTTAACATTTCGACATTAAGTCAAAATAACACCCCACGGCTAAGGCCATCACCATAGAAGAGTTCGAAACTACTCGAACCAGGACGAGTTAACATTTCGACATTAAGTCGAAATAATACCCCACGGCTAAGGCCATCGCCATAGAAGAGTTCGACACCATTCAAACCACGACGGGTTAACATTTCGCTATTAAGTCAAAATAACACCCCACGGATAAGGTTATCGCCATTGAAATAAATTCGACATCGCTTGAAACACGACGGGATAACACTTCGACATTAGCTCGAAAACAACATCCCTATGGCTAAGGCCTAAAGGAAAAAGCTCGACATAAGAGCAATATCGCTCGAAACGCAATAGGTAACATTTCGACAACTCGAAAATAAGCACGACTATGACAAAGGACGTCGCCAAATAAACAAATTAAACACAGCAAGAAAACAATTCAGACGTACACAATAAAAAGTAATTGCTCCATTACAGCTGTTATATTACAAAAGGTTTTTACGAAGGGCTCAAGAACGCCCCCACAAAAATGGTAAAGCAAAATAAATACAGCCAAGTCCTATGCCACATCACCCCCATGGCATACTCCTCATTGTAGCAAGAATCAGAGGCGAGCTTGTCCGCATCGTCGAAATCGACTTCGTCTCTGCCAGGCATGACAGGGTCGTAACCACACGGCTCTCGAGCGGCACGCGCTTTAATACACACCTCTCGGAGTGTCGCCTCAGATATTTTCCCATCAGCATGAAGAGACTTATATACGTCAAGCTGGGCTTCGACATGAACCCATAGCTCATATAAATCTCGAGGCATGACAGGGTCGGCCGAAGCATGGGAAGTAGAAGGCTGCGACTGTCGTCTTACGTCCTCCGCCTTCAGAGCAGCAACTTGTTCATTTAATGCGGACAATTTCGCCTCCAGATCTTGGATACGCCCCTCAAATCTCGCCACCTTAAGCGCATATGCCTCCACTTCCTTGTCCCGTTCTGATCTGCAAACACGAAGGGTGTCTTCCAGAGCCGCTACCTCAGAGACGGCAGTTGCCCTATCCCTTTCGGCATGAGCCAACCCATCAGCCTTGGCACTCAGCTCGCCTTTAAGGTCGACGACCTCCGCCGCCTTCTTGTCAAGCTCGGCAATTAAGTTGGCCACCTTTACTTGGAGGTCGGCATTCTCAGCCATCACCTCCTTACTCAGCTCAAGCTCATCTTCTCTAACCTAAGGGGCGCATCGAGTTTACTACAACGGGCAATAGCCTTCATCAGGTCCTCATCTCGTTCTTTCAGCTCCTCGACCTTTTTCGCCAATTGATCCTCCTTTTGCTTAAGACCCTCGCGGAACAGCTGAAAGTCGTGATCCTGAGTAAAGATGTCAGCCATCGCATGATGCTTGGTGTGGTATTCCTGATATTTGGAGGACACCTTCCCAAAGACGGCCGTCCTCCGCCTTTCCCTACGTTCACGCTCGATCTCCATGATAAGGGTCTAGTATGAAAAGCAAAGTTAAAACAAAGAAATGGGCTAAGGATACGAAAATAGATCCAACAACGAAAAGAAAAGAGAGAAGCTTTTACCCGTAGAGCCATGCTGGAAACGTTCCGTGACAACTCTGCATCACTCATCGCCTTAAGTGTCACGCTCTCAGGAGCAGCGCACAAAGGTGCGAACACCGACGCCACCTGATCACAGTTCGACAACAAGTCGTAGTCTCCAGGGATGACTATTTGTCGATCAGAACCTTCCGCTCTCACTTCTACACGAGTGTGACGCTCCGAGAACTCTCGTACATCTTCAGGGTCAACGTCCGAACCTGAGCCGTCGCCCTCGGCGTGTACGCCTCCTCCAACAGCAGATGATGCTCCGCCCTCAGCAGAGTGCGCAGACCCCCCTCCTTGGTATATTCCTTCGGTCCGGGGAGATCTTCCTGCCAAAATGGTATCCGCCATAAAAACAGGCACCGGTGCCGTCTCCGACGCACCAGTTCTGCTCTTTCCAGCATCAGTGGCAACTTTCTTCCCAAGTTCTACCCTCCTCCTTTTTCTCGAGGGAGATTCGTCCCCATTGCAGGGCTCATCCACAAGGTGATATACTGGTCGGGAGGAGATCTCATCCCGAACAATCATGTCACGAGAGGAGTCACTAGCCTGTACGGGCTGAGCACGGCCCCCTCGGACGGACTCAGCCAAGGTAAATTGCATCCCCGCTGATGCGACGGCCTGGCGAAATGCAGGGACTGGAGCCTTCTTCCTGTAAGTCCTACGACATATCATCACAGGGAGTTGTGTCAATAAACGGCGACAAACAACTAAAGGTCAAAACAGAGAAAAACATTTATCAAATGGAACCTTCGGCCCAAAACGTTTCACGAAAGCGGGCCAATCCCGAGTTTCCACCACGTAAGGTAATAAGCGGGCTACCCAGTCCTTGATACCGGCAATGGGACGAGGTGTATGCCTCACAGCTGCATAGGAAAGTTACAAATAAGTACAAAGTTGAAAAAAAAACAAAAGTAAACTACAAGTACCAACACCTACGGTTATGATTCCACCGTTCTGGGAATCCAGCAGGGTCCGACACCAGATGCTCGGTTCTAACAAAGAAGTATTTATGCCAAAATCTGTGGCTTGCCTGGTCGTCCGTTCCGACCACCAGTCCCCCGGTCCCACGGTACCTCAAATGTATCATAGTTCCCCTGTGAAAACTAGGGGAAAACAGATGTAGGAGGTGGTGGAGGCCAACTTCACACCCCGCCAACTCTACGTACTTCGTCAATACCAAAAATATCTTGTACGTATACGGAGAAAGTTGCGCCGAGGAGACCTCATAAAACCGAGAGAATTCCTCCGCTAACGGAAGAAGAGGGAAAGAGTGGCCGATCACAAAGGGGTATATATAAAAGGCACAATATCCCGGTCTGTGGACATATACGAAGTCCCTCCCGGCCGGAACCATCTCAACATGGGAGGGAATGTTATACGTAGATCAAAGGTCATCTCTGCGAGCCTGCTCAGTCTCAGAAATCACCGGAGCAGGAGAAGGAACATGCTCTTTAAGGAAATCATTCCGAGACAGGGGGTTTCTCGGTAGTATCTCCTCCACGGTGGGAAGGCTGTCCCCTTTCTCTACCGCCACATCCTCATGACCAGGGGGAGGTACTATGGAAAGCGAGGTGGCGTCAGAAATCTCTTCGTGGGAACGATGTGTTCTAGGCATCTCAATGGCAGAGGGTATATTGATAAAACAAAGAACGATGAATGGAAGAAGGTGAAGAGAAAGATCACGAAAGTAGAGCTGAAGATACGAGAAGAGATGGCCAAAGAAGATAACACATACACTAGAAAGGAAATGATCGAAAGTTCTAGAAAGAACCAAACCTTCATCTATTTATAAGGTTTGGATGGCGCCAGAATCGAAGCGAAAGGCTGCCAGTGGCACCAAAATTGAAGCAACAAGCCAATCGGTCTCTGCCTCGGGAAGATGCGCAATGATGACGCACGTGAGGGTGACGTCATTTCCTGATATGTTGCACTATCTGGAATACTGTAGATTGCGTCGCTTTTTCGTTATTGATCAAACCGTTACGATCTAACCGCCAAATTTCTCCGCGGGTATGGACGACGTCCGCTTATCAAGGATGCACAGGGTCGCGACCTCAACAAGCGGAGGGACTAATTGTATGGGTCCAAATTTGGCAACCACGACCATTACCGAGTAGGATGAGGAACGAGGTTATCATGATGCACCGTCTGATGGTCATCATGGTGAAAGGTACGACTGAGGGCGGTCAGTCGATGCATAACGTCCACGATAGTGTAAATTTAGTGGGAGACAGTAAGAATATACTTTTCGAATATTCTCTATGTTGTACTTTTTAGGGTTTTTGGGAGATGAACCCTTATAAATAAGAAGGGTAAGTAAAGAAGAAGGGGGAGGGAGAAAAAAGACAAAAGAACACTTTGTAAAAGAATCATCTGAGATTGAATGCAAAAGCAGTCTTGTTCATCAGAGAAGATCCCAAGATTCCCCAATCATCTCACACTTCTTCTCCCTTACATTGCTTGCATCCGGGACGGTTCTATTGTGCATTTAAATCTACAGATTTATGAGCTTTTATTCGATTTGAACAGACTTGTTATATCGTTCATCTTGCTTACTCCTTCCATCATTTGATCTAGGTTTTATTGTGCTGGACTAAGATTGACCTCATAACTATTATTAATTGTTTTAATCAAAAAAGTTCTAACATCTTTTGGTCAAACACTAAATATGTATAAATATAATATATATTGAAATATATTTTATAAATTAATATTAATATATACAAAAAATATACATTTTGTCTATTATTTTTTGGGGCAGTCAGCAGTTATATAACGGGAGTATAAATTTCCTATACAGGACTACATCTATACATGCACGTTAACCAAAGATCTCCTTTTACTCCTTTAGACTTTAGAGCCAACGGTTACATCCTGCATTTCCTCAACCACCGAAAACAACCCCCCAACAGCGCGTGAGTTTCCAACTCAATCGTACAGCCAGCTTGCACAGTACATAATCATCATTTTTTGTCACCACCCCACCGCGCGTATAAAAATAATTCATCCATTCCGTCTCTTCTTCCTCCTCCTCTCGCGAAGCCCTAGAAAATTCACATTCTACCATTCCAGAGCCCGAATTTCGCAGAGCCTAGATCTCCTCTAAATTCACCCCCGATTTCGCTGATAAACCCATTATTCGCTAGCCCAAAGCACTCCGTTTCCTTCGAACTTGGCTTTCCAAACCCTAGATCTGACCCACATTTCCAATTTTTTCATAAATTGGAAATTTTACTAAAGATTAATTGACCGATTGAGTGATTGCCGTTAAAATTTCACGTATGGTGGGCATGGGAAGGGTTGAAAACGAGGCAATTAACAAACCCTCTTCATCGTCCTCGGCTTCATCATCTCCGGCGACGACTACGTCGACGTCGGTGACGGAGACGGTGAATGGCTCTCACGATTTTAAGATCACGGGATATTCGTTGTCCAAGGGGATTGGGATTGGGAAGTACATCGCTTCTGATACGTTCATGGTAGGTGGGTATTCGTGGGCGATCTATTTCTATCCTGATGGAAAGAGTATTGAAGACAACTCCACGTATGTTTCGTTGTTCATTGCCTTAGCGAGCGAAGGCACGGATGTGAGGGCGCTTTTTGAGCTGACGTTAATTGATCAAAGCGGTAAGGGTAGGCATAAGGTGCATAGCCATTTCGGGAGAGCGTTGGAGAGTGGGCCCTACACTCTTAAATATCGTGGAAGCATGTGGTGAGTTCCCTTTCATGGGTTCTTTCTTTTACTTTTTGCACGGTGTGGTCTAATGTAGTTGAATTTCACTGACTATTCAATGCTGGTTTTACCTGACCTCTGTCCTTTCCGATAAAGAATTATTTGACGGATTGGTTGGTTGACTTACTCTTTTGTACGGTGTACTTTAATGTATGGGCTTGTTTTGTGGTATACTTTTGATTTTGTGACACTGGGCGCTTTAATCTTGCCCTTGTCTTTGTGAATAGATTTGCTTAACTTTTAGTAGAAGAAATTGCAACCAGCAGTCATCTTTGCACGTCTCGTTCGTCCTTGTCTCCTTAACCTTTACATGCTTGTGCTGTAGTTCTTATTCTCATAACGTCTTTTCTGATTTACTCATCTTACCTCATAAAAAAAGAAACTTCTAATTTGATTTACATTTAAGAAATGGAAACTGTTTGCGTTTCATGTGAGCTTTTGAAGTATGCTGAAACTTGTTGTGGTTTTGTTGTAGATTGAAATTAGCACTTAGACCAGAATTCAGTTGCAGGATTTGACTTAATTTTTTTTACTTCACATATCACCTTCTCTATCCATGTTTGTCGAACCTTTTGTTTATTTTACATGCACGTATATAAATCTACATGGGCTAATTTGGGTTCTGCAGGGGATATAAGCGATTCTTCAAAAGAACTGCTTTAGAAACATCAGACTACCTGAAGGATGATTGCCTGCAAGTTCATTGCTGTGTTGGTGTTGTGAGGTCCCGCACCGAAGGACCTAAAACTTATGCCATCCCTCTACCACCATCAAATATTGGACTACATTTTGGACAACTCCTTGAAAGTGAGAAGGGTACTGATGTAAACTTTGAAGTTGATGGAGAGATATTTGCTGCTCACAAATTGGTACTTGCTGCGAGGTCACCTGTGTTCAGAGCACAACTCTATGGTCCAATGAAGGATCAAAATACAGAGCATATAAAAGTAGAAGACATGGAAGCCCCTGTTTTTAAGGTCAAAGTCATATACCTCGGTCCCCTTTCCTTCCCTTATCTCTAGATTTGACTTCTTATAATGTACAATGTTTTGGAGAGCGAGAAGCGGAAAAAAGCGAGGCCTCGCTTCACCGAAGCGAGAAGCGTGAAACGAAGCGCGCGCTTTTTTTATGTGAAGCGCAATTTACACATAAATAAAAAAAATTAAATAGGCATACCAAGAACTCAAAAATAAATAACATATTAAGCAAATGTTGCACTTTTGTCCTATTGCCAATTGCAACTCCATACGCCCAAGCTTGATCTTTTTTATGGCTTGATGCCATTGAATAATAAGATTGAATTTACTACAATCAACAACCAAAAAAAAAGAAAAAAAGAAGTGTTAAACAGTGAACAGAGAACAGAGAACAACAGCAGAAATTTAGAAAAAACAGAGCACAAGCATAAAATAGGGCAGAACAGAGAAATAAAAACTGAAAGAAATAGAAAAGAAGAAGAGAAAAAGGAGTTGAACAGTGAACAAGCAGAGAAAATCAGAAGAGGAAGAGAAGAGAGAAAGAAGAGAAGAAGAGAAACTTACTCGAACTTGAAGAGCAGAAGAGAAGTCGTCAAGGTGTAGTCGTCGCTTGCAGCAGAGAAGTAGTGTGCGTATGTGTATTTGCAATTTTTTGTTAAAAAACCCTAGGCTGCTGCTGGACATCGCTTAAGCGAGCTTTTCTGCGCTTTTTTCATCGCCTCGCTTCTCGCTTTTTAGGGTGAAGCGTGCGCTTATTTAGCCGAGTCACGCTTTAGGGCAGAAAAGCGCAGGTCCATCGCCTCGCCTCGCTTCTGCGCTTTAAGCGAGAAGCGTGCGCTTTTAATAACACTGATAATGTAAATATCATTAATGTGATCTGTAAGTATTCAAGATAGTTAGTATGCTGAACTTGGTATTTGCATTACTGTACTACTATGAAAACTCCCCATTCCATATTATCTCAGTTGTCATTGCATTTTCTTTCACACTGCGATCTGCGCTTTTGTTGAAAAACCCTAGGCTGCTGCTGGACATCGCTTAAGCGAGCTTTTCTGCGCTTTTTTCATCGCCTCACTTCTCGCTTTTTAGGGTGAAGTGTGCGCTTATTTACCTGAGTCACGCTTTAGGGCAGAAAAACGCAGGTGCATCGCCTCGCCTCGCTTCTGCGCTTTAAGCGAGAAGCGTGCGCTTTTAATAACACTGATAATGTAAATATCATTAATGTGATCTGTAAGTATTCAAGATAGTTAGTATGCTGAACTTGGTATTTGCATTACTGTACTACTATGAAAACTCCCCATTCCATATTATCTCAGTTGTCATTGCATTTTCTTTCACACTGCGATTAAGCAATTTTTTCGAAGTTACTTGCACCTGCAGCAGTTATTTGTTGTTTCCTGCCTCTTTTTTCTTGGATGAATATTTTCTGCCACTCTTAATAGGTTTCATAAGTTTTCTCTCCAATAGAGAGCTGGTAGTTCAATTCAGAGTTTTGACCAATAATTAAGTGTTTAAGAAGGTTATAGCTGGACAAGGAATTGTTCTTTACGGATTTGTGATGTATTCAGTTGAGCAGTTTCAGCTTGGAAGGCTAAAAGTTGTCAGTATGAAGCTATTTCGGAAGACATATAGGAACTTTATGCTCTACTATATGATTTTCTCTTTGTTGGTTTGTTTTTCCATTTTTCATAAAATTGAAGACCTCTCTTGCTGTAAACTACTTGTATGTGATACATCTACTTGCTAACTCTTCCAACTCGTGGCAAATTTACATCGTGGTGCTTTTGCTTTGAATTTTCTAGCTTTTACTTTCTAATCTCAAAAAGATGGGAGTTGACTTCCATTCATCATAATATTCCTAAAGTTCAGTTGACATTGGTGGGGGATAAGTGGTTATGAATTTATATGCAAGTAGTAAGAAGTGCAACTTCATTTTGACTGGTGCGAAGTAAGTATGCATTCAGACAACAGTCAAATAACTTCTTTAACTTGCTTATCTCGGAAATTGTTAATGCGTTAACTCTTTTTTGTCCCAAGCGTTCCAGTGGTTGTAAACTTAAATACATTGATCTGATCCCTACTTTTAGGAATGCTCAGTGTTGTTAAAGGCTCCCTCGAGGCACTTTTAAGTCTGGAAATTAGATACAACATAAGCTAGGTGTTGTCGCCTTGCTTTGTTACTGTTTCAGTGTAAGCACCGAGGCACTGAAGGGACACATCGTTGCCCATTTTCTATAATCTTGACGAGGGTGACACTAAATAATGAATGTACCTTGCAATGTGACATGCTAAATATCAATCAAAAGTTATGGATGAATATGTATGATTAAGAATAGGAGATTATAGATACGTAAAATTACATCTTGATTTATAATTATCATCCACTTGTTTTATTGGTTTATTGTTTTTTCTAATTCCTTTATCTATACTTGTTGGTTGTGTTTATATCTACTTTTTCTTGCATTACATATTTACTTATTTGCTTCTTCATTTTTGCATGTTTTCACTGGACCCACGGTGATTGCTCTTTATGTTTAAAGCCCAAGAACACCTTTCTATGCTTTTTGCCTTTGGTAACATTGCATCTGTGGTGTACTTGTTGAAGCTGTTTAATTTATTACAGTATCAACAGGAAGTTAAGTAGATTACCGCAGATGCCAATAGAAGCTGTATTTGGAGTTCATTTTTGAGTTAAATGTTTTTTATTTGCAATTCTGATGTGGCATTCTCTTTTCATTATACTTTTGTGATTTAATTTTGCATTAGTTGCTTTAATTCTCGTGTATGTTGATGGCAGGCTCTTATTCATTTCATTTACTGGGATGTGCTGCCGGACATGGAAGAACTCACAGGATTGAACTCAAAATGGGCATCGACCTTAATGTCTCAACATCTGCTTGCGGCTGCTGACCGTTATGGGTTAGATAGGCTCAGGTTGCTCTGCGAGGCTAACCTGTGTGAGGAAGTTGCTATTAATACTGTTGCAACAACTTTAGCCCTGGCTGAACAGCACCACTGTTTCCAGCTGAAATCCGTCTGTCTCAAATTTGTTGCCATGCCAGAAAATCTAAGAGGTGATCTTTTATCTCCTGTTCAACTCATGTTATAGTGCTACATCAAATTTTGCGATTCAATTTGATTATTTGGTTAAACTTTCAAGTACTTGACTTTTTGTGTTACTTTTAACACATTTATACTTTTTTGGCATCATGATCTACAAATAATCTCTCCTAAGTGTAAACTCTCAAAAGATTTAATTCCCCTTATGAAAATTTTCTGTAATAAAATGTACTGGCGCTTTATGTCTGTAAAATGAAAATTTAAAAGTTCTAATTTGATTTTCAACAATTCTCTTTATGTACTAATGAAAATATTGGCGCTAGTTAATTTGGAAGGGAAGATGTCTGGCCATTAATGCAGGTCTATATTAGTATTTCTGAAATGAGTTTCTATTCGTCGTCCTTATTTCTAAAGGGGTTCAGGTTTAGGCACAAAAGAAAAAGTGAAGCAAGACTCGCAACCCTACAAATTGGTGATGTCATTGAATTAACTTTATGCTCAACCGATAGGCCTAAAGGACGTAGTTACAATATTTTTGTGCAAATTGCAATTTATATGCCACCACTTCAAATCCAAGTTAGCATAATTGAAAATGTCTTGATTAGCATGCATCTAGATTTTACATGCATTTGATGTTCATTGGCATCTAGATTTTCTTTTGGTAACATGCATCTAGATTTCTTTTTGCATTATGCATTTGATGTTCATTGACCATTTGTCCCTTTGATTTTTAACTTGTCATATCCTTAGCATAGTATTTTTATCCAGGAACCTTGGTATTAGGATTTAAAGTTGATAGGTTCCACCTTTAAATTATTAGAATTGATCTTATTATAGGATTGCACAAACGAAGTGAATTTTGTTCTAGCTCGTACATACTAGTGTCAGAGTTATGTTATTAGTTGATACTGATTGAGTTATGTTATTAAGCGGTATTGACCAGCATAGTCTTTCTTATGCAGCTGTTATGCAAACCGATGGTTTTGACTATTTGAGAGAGAGTTGTCCTCATGTCCTCACAGAACTATTGGAGTATGTTGCCAGGGTAAGTGAACATTCTGGCATTGCCAGCAAGCTAGGGAATGAGGTTATCCTTGATGGCGGCGATGTTAACGGCCGGCGCGTGAAACAAAGATTATAATTGAAGTTCTGAATGCCAAATTGTGGTCGTTTCTAGGATAGGAATATTTTTCATGATGAAGCCTGTAGTTTGACATAGATGTAAATTTGGGTCTGTCAATGTCATTGATATTGTAATCATCTATAATAATATCTTGTTCCTAGTAATATGTATTTGTGTATGGTTCCCGCTACTTGAAGCTCTTGATACATTTCCCAAGAGACTCGGCTTCTAACTCTTTGTTGATAAGGTTTTCTCTTTATTCCCTCTACTTATGTGCGGTTCCTTCGTGTATTTGAACTTGATATTTCAGCCCTTGATTTGTTAATTGGAACACGTAATTTATTTGCTGTTATTTGGGGTATTGTTATTCGACAGATAATTAGGTGATAAATATTCGTCACAGTTGAAGGTCTACGATGAAACTAAGTTACCGCTCCACAAATAGGCTTGTGTATTAGGCTTGTAGGGCTTCTAACATTGTAATCACACGTTGGTGATTTGCGTATCATTCCGCGCCGCTGTTCAACTTTTGTCCATGTTTTAGGAATTTCTGCAGAGATAGTTTGGTTCTATGGAAAATTATTTTTTCATGCCGGTAGGTGTGCCTTAGTACAATCTTCATCTTACCTGTCTTGTTGAATTGGTAACAAGTTATATAACTTGCATTGTACATATGTCATGCGAATTGACAATTTACCAGATCAATACCCTAAAATTTTTGCAATTGGATTTTGCATATCAATGTTTAAATTTTGGAAAAAATGTGTATATGTAAACTAAGGGTGTTTTTCGGACGGGCTGGTCATGAGAAAAAATAAGAGAAATTTTCATAAAGCACTATCTTTTAGTAGTAATTAGCCATCTATAGATACCATTTGCTATATTACGGCATATAGTATTCATGATGTATTCGAGTATTTAAGCTATTGTATTCATGAATACAATAGCAAAAATAGGCGTGAATCAGGGAAGTCCAGCTAATCAGTTGTTGTATTCGAGTGTATTCGACTGTATTCATGGAGTGAAACATGGGATTACAGCTGGACATATTCACGGCGTGAAATAGGGGATTACACTGTTTTAAAACAGAAAGTGAATCAATTAACATAATAGACTCCTAATATAACTCAACAAACTCAATTATAACACACAAATTTTATATTTTTCAGTTATAAAAAAGATTCTCAACCGCAATATACAATGAAATAGATAGATTACAGAGGGATACTTGAAATACAATGAGAAAAAAAGACACTGAATACAATGAAATACATGGAATACAACGAGATACATTGAATTACAATGAAAAAAAAGATAGTGAATACAATGAAATACATAGAAATACAGCGAGATACATTGAAATGCTCTTAAAAAAAAGGTTTCAAATTGCTCAACCCCAAACTTCAGACGACCTATTTTAGTCGACAATTTTCCGACGACCTATCGGATTCCGACCATGATTCCATAAGCTGAGGTATTTTACTTATGGCATCTACAGTACCGGCGAAGTCAAATAATCCACTACACAACTTTGATTTTCTCACTAGAAATGAATAATCGTCTTCATCAACGTTGCTGCTCATCCAAGCTGTCGGCGACGGCGGCACGATTCGCCGCTAAATAGTCTCAGTTTCGATGTGTGAATCCTTCGCGTGGTTCGTTAGTCATAAAGGAGTGATTCTGCCATGATTGCTCGCCAGTCACTGATCCGTGATCTTGTTTCATCGGCACTAGGATATGACTCTTTAATGGGATGGGGGAAGAGAATGAGATGTATCAAAGTAGAGAGAGAAAGAAAATAGTATAACTGATTAGCGTATTTAGTGGCTTAGGGCTAGGAGGTAACCAAAATTAAATATTTTGCTATAAACCTTAAAAGGTATCTATAGAATATAATTTTTTTAAATGGTATTTATTTAAAATAAATAAGGTGTTAACCTTTGCTATAGGAGGTAAAAATTCCAAAAAAGAACCCGTTCGGTTAGTGGGGCGGGCAGGTTAGTGGGATGGCATACCGGGCTATTAGTGGGCTAGGTAATTCCGGTTAAAATAGCACGGGCTAGCCAGTTTTCGGACTGGTCATTCAAAAATAGCCAGCGTTTGCCAATTCATTGAAAAATAGCCACTATTTTGCTGCAACAGAGATCGGTCCAGCATAATATACTGGAGCTCGGTGCACCTATGTATGAACTTCGAGCATATTATGCTGGACCGGTATACTTTGCTGGAACTCCAGTAAGTATACTGGAACTCCAGTATACTTACTGGAGTTCCAGCAAAGTATACTGGAACTCCAAACTCCAGTACAATATACTGGAATTCCAGTATACTTTGCTGGAACTCCAGTATACTCCACTATATTATACTGGAGTTCGAGTATATTATACTGGAACTCCAGTATATTTTGCTGGAGTATTTTCCAGATTTTGAACAGTGTTTTCGTTCAGATTTATCTTTACATGAAAAGTGGCTAAATTTCGGTGGCTTTTGAAACTGTGGATATTTTTGAATGACCACTTGTAAATCTGGTTATTTTTGAATATCTCCCTTAAATTCCGGGTTCTAGTGGGCCCATCCGGGTTCGGGCCTATTCGGTTTGAACGGGGCCGGGTTTTTTTTTTGTGTATTATGATTTCTTGTTCAATGTAATTGATACTTAAGTGTTTGCAAACTTCTAAATATACTTTTTAACTTTAAGGTTTAAACTTTAAAGTGTTAAATTTGAAATTTGAATTTCAAAATTCAAAAATTAAAATTAAGTGACTACATAAAATTATTTAATAAGACCAATATGTACAAACTTCAAACGTTTTCATTTCATATTTTCATTGCATAATAATACTTCAAATTAACTAGCAAGTTCTATTTTAATTTTTTCATTTTTGAACTTGCAAATTAAAAGTTTACAACAATTAAAAGTTGGAATTTTTACCTTCCTATACACTATTCGAAACTTAATTACCCTCCATACTCAAGTTTTAATTTAATTACATAGGCATATACAATTTACCAATTATATACAATATAGGAATTAAATGAGTATCCCTTTATATTAGGAATTGAATAAGGAATCAATTATTTCCCATCCTTGTTCTCTCTCTCTCTCCGTCTCTCTCTATCTCTCAATCTCTCACTCTCTGTTCTTTCCCCAATTTTTCTTCCTCTGATGCTCTCTATTTTTATCCTTTCATGTTGTATATATTTTTAATGGAATTTATCAATAGATTTCAATCATTTTTTTATAGAGTTTTAACTTAGCAATTTTCTTTCATGTTGCACAATTGGTGTTCAAATTGAAATTGTCAATTAATAAATTTTGAAGGTGTTTGATTCTCCACCATTGACAGCCATTAAAAAGTTTTGAAGCTTTGTATTCGAATTTGGATTTTCAAAAATCATTATTTGTTTGGATTTGGTATTGTTGCAAACAATTGGGAATATTGTTTGGAGTTTATATCTCAATTTTGAGGGTGTTTGGTGAAGATTAGACTTGATTTTGGCTGAATTTCAGATTGAAACTCGAAGAAGAAGAAGAAGAACACATGACATACAATATACTTACGAAATTGTAGTAAAGTTGTAGTATAATTGTATGTAAATTGTACTCTGTTATACAATGTACTCTGTATGTATGTATGTATGTATGTATGTATGTATGTATGTATGTATGTATGTATGTATGTATGTATGTATGTATGTATGTATGTATGTATGTATGTATGTATGTATGTATGTATGTATGTATTTGAATGTTATGTGAAAGTTGAAAAATAGTTATATAATGTATGAATCATTGTATAAAATTTGTAATTAAGTTATCAATACTATCTTTTTACATAAAGCTATTGATAAAATTTCAGAGAGGAAGAAGAACACGCCACATACAAAATATATACAAATCATATACAAAATACGTACAAAAGATATAGTGTATAAAATTTGTATGAAAATTATATTTAAGTTGTATGATGTTGTAGTTGTATTTCACTGAGTAGAAATAATGTATGAAAATTGTAAATAAGTTATATGCTATATAATTAGTCGTATGAAATTTATTTTTAGTTTATATGTTGTTATAGATGTACCAAATTTGTACGAAATTTATTTTTATATGTTATTGTACCATACAAATTTGTGCGCTGCTCCTGTCACTTAAAAAAATTATTTATCGCATGAAGTTTTTTTTATTTCATTAGTAAGTGGTAGAATAAAATGCAAATAATAGACGAGAATGATACCAGTGAATTAATTGATTTTTTCAATCGTTCATTCTTTCATTCATTCTATTTAGGTCCCAATCAATGGAGTAGTTTGACTGATTGAGAATTCATACTTATATGTCTGGCATTCATTTTCTTATTAGAGGCTAGCCTTCGAATGACTTATAATGTCTTTGCTTTTCTTTTCGGGGTTTTGACACAGTTACCCACAAAAACAAAACTATTTATCCTTGTCTACCCATTTGTTTTCCTACCCATAAACTAATTATATTTTCTACCCATAGTAGATTTTGTGGGGAATTTTTTCTTTATTCTCCAATTCTTTTTTATTTCTATGCTTCTTTACTTTTTTTTTTCTTTTTTCTTTTTTTTTCTTTTCTCCTTTTTTTCTTCGTTTTCTTCTTCTTCTTTTTTTCTTTTTTCCTTTTCTAATTTTATTTAACTTCTGTTTTTTATATTTTTTTTCTCTTCATAATCTAATTTTATTTACTGTTTTCACTATTTTTTATTATTCTTTTTTTTATATTATTAGTAAAGAAAAATTAAATTGTGTACCAATTAAATGTAGTTAATACAACCAAAAAAATATTAACTAACATATGACACCGGTACAGTATATAGCTATACCAACAGGGTATACAATTGTACGCAAAGAGTTAAAAAAATTTAATTCAATTATTAAACTGAAATAATATCAATTGTCAAAAAAAAAAAAAAAATTCTAAAAGGACCTAATTGTAAGAGTATACCATTACATCATATAGCATACTATAATGTTTTTTTATTTCTTTTTTTGCATTTTCAGTTTGCCCCTCACGCTTGGATAAAAGCTTAAAACAAATTAAAAGGGAAAAGACAAGTGAATTTACGGGTAATAAATATACTATTATAGTATATTGTATACTATTGCATCATATTGTTACAGTATCTTGCATATTATTACAGTATACCATAACAATATATTGTATACTATAATAGTATACTGTTGCAGTATAACTATATACTCCTATAGTATATTAGTAAACTGTAGCGGTATACTGTTTTGTAAACTATAATAGTATAGTGTTGCAGTAGAGCTATATACTCCTACAACATATTGTATACCGTAGCAGTATATTGTAGCTGTGTTCTTCTTCGATTTTCAACTGAAAATTCGATCTCAATCACCTCAAATCAGCTTCAAACGCTATCAAATTTCAGTATGAAATTCCAGAAGGTACTATAAGCAATATTTAACAGCACCCACTTTGAATCAAACAAGAAATCTTCAAAAATAAAATTGAGCTTCAAGCTCAACAATGGTAGGACCATGGAAGCATCACCCCGAACTGGTTCTTCGGTACAAAAAATGCCAGGTTCTTGCTTCTCTGTTGCTGCTACAGCATCTACTTCTTCACTGTATCTCTTCACTCAAAAGCCTAAATTCTCAGTAGATCATCTTTCCTTAAGTACTTATAATACTCACTTCAACTTCAAGATAAACTCAACAAAACTCAAAGCCCATTTCCCTATTTCTTCTCTTTATCGCTCTTCAATCTTTTTGAGCACTTGTGCTTCTGTGTCTGATGGAGTTGAGGTTGTCCAAGATGATGACGAAGAAGAAGTTGCATTGTCAACCGAAGAAGAAGAGGAAATTGAAGAAAAAGAAGAAGGTGTTGAGTTAGAATCAGTTGAAGGTGGTAGATTGTACGTGGGTAAAATGAGGAACAAGAAGTGCGGGTAAATAGTTTGGGGGCCATGGATAGGAATAATAAATAGTTTGGGCATGGGCATTAAAGGGTAAATAGTTTGGAATTAATGAATATAAAGTGAGATTTTCTCTTTCTTTTCCTCCAGAATTATTGGTCGCCTTGCCTCAGAGACAACCCCCCAAACTTTAATATATATATATATTATATATAAATTAAAAGCTAAGGGATCGAGACAGACTCGTTTCTGAATACAGAACTAGTAAGCACAGGGGAATTATGTACATGGAGAAAAAGTCTATACACAAACGCTTGGTGGGTTTGGAATTCTTTAAAAGGAGATTACTTTCTTTATACATGTATTTCCTTGATAACAAAACTGTTTGAGAAATAAGATTTGCTTAAGAAAAAAGAAAATTTTACCTATCTAATTATATATGCCCTTTTCCAAACAAAGAATCCCCTAATTCAAGACATTAATAATGGATTATATATGAATTATAATAAAAACTTGTTTAAGACAGGTAATATGTAAAATATGAACAATTTTAGTAAATAAGTTTCAATTCTTGTATAGGAAGGAAAAAATATTTACTACTGTTGGCAATAAGAGCAAATTGTCTAATAAACTAACACATTAAACTTAAATAAGTCTAATAAATTCAAAATAACACAAATTGTCTCAAATCAACTTAAATACGAATTTCTGGAGGACGCTCAAGGCAACCTTGATATGCTTCCTTAAACCATATGCGACCTTCCACTTTCGATGAACATTAAAGACTCGACCACATTTCTTAAACTCTACTTTGCGAACTTCTTCATTTTCTTCTACCACCTCAAATGTTCCTAAACATGTGAGCGCACTCTAGAAGCACGAGGCATGCTTGAAGTTGAACCTAACAAAAATGGTAAGCACACTTCACTTGATAATTGTAATTTTGTAGTGGCTACGTAAATAATTGATAAAACTTGAAATAATAATTAATTGAGAACTCGAGAGCAATAAACATATCACGATCCAAATTCCATTAAAGGTTGTGATGGCGCCGGACACCACTGTCAGGCAAGCCAACACCAAGAAGTTAATTAAATTCTCATTTTAGTATCTTTGAAGTCATTTCTTTTTCTTACATTAAACGATATATAATGAACTTCACTGAGTAAATAACGATGTCTTTAACAAATTTGAATGCTGAAAAATCCCATAGTCATCCCAGAACCCGGTGTCACAAGTGCTAGAGCAATTTCTAGGAAGATAAAATGTAATACAGTAACTGTCCGGAATACAAGTTGGACAGAAAAGAATATACAATACTCTGAAGGAGACTCTGCTGGCTGCGAGTCGTCTCGAGAGATGCGGCACACCTAAGTCTCTGTGTCAGCCATGCCGCTACGCCCAACTAGGCCACTAGACATACATGTACCTGTGCAGTGCAACAAAATGCACAACAAGTGTAGTATGAGTATGAAAACAATTCGTACCCAGTAAGTATCCAGTCTAACCTCGAAGAAGTAGTAACGAGAGGTCGATTTCGACACTTACTAGTGGTCCAATAATATCAAATACAGTGAATAAGTAAATAAAAATACGAAACAGAGAAAAAATATGAAATAAACCTATATAAAATACGTGGTACAATTCCCTTCTTTACAATGTTAATCATGCTCTCAACTAGCAAGTTCCCTCCGTAACCGGAGCATATATATAAAGATATAGTGGATATCATCAAGAGGTTATCCTAATTCAAATCAGGGATAAATCCTCAGATACACTGGCCTATGGCCAAATGTTACGCACGAATTCCATAAGAATAATATATATATATAGAAAATGCCGAGGCGTACGGACCGATCCAACATAAAAGTAAATTGTGCACTACCAAGGGTCGAACAACGCGAACCATAGATGCATCTATTCCCCGCCCGTGAATCATATATGCGACGCGGTCCCCGCTCGCGAATCATACATGCGACGCGGTCAAATATAAATTTAAGAAATTACCCCGATTGCGAATCACACATGCGACGTGGTCAAATATAAATTTAACATTTAAATCATATCTCTTTCTTGATTCTTTTCGAAGTATTGGAAATTCAACTTGAAACTTTTTAAGGAAATTACCCCGCTCGCGAAACATATATGCGTCCCGGTTACACATAGATTTCTTAAGTTATTATAATATTTCTCAATTCTTTCGAAAATACGAAGTTTAATGGAAACTCTTAAAATCTTAAATTCCTCAATTCAAATTTCTTTCAACACAATTATTACGCAACCCTAATCTTGTTTCTTCTCAGGACAAACAATAACATAAATTAATAACAAGATCAACAAGGCATGATGTAAGCCTAAAACTACCCGGACATAGGCATAGCTATAGCTACATACGGACTCTCGTCACCTCGTGCGTACATAGCCCCCACAAATAGAAGCATATAATAATTTAGTTCACCTATGGGGTTAATTCCCTTTTACAAGGTTAGAAAGGAGACTTACCTCGCCCCGAAGTTCCATAACCGGCTTCCAAGCCCTTCAATCAACTCAAATCAATGCTCAACGCTCCCAAGACTAGTCAACATATGAGAAAATCCATAAATGCATGCCCTTATACTCACAACAATTCAATTTAGATAAATTCCCAACTCCGCTCGAAAATTTGACAAAATCACCCAAGTGCCCGGATTTCAAAATTTTTCAAAGATAAAGATTACCCATAACATTATGAACTCAGATATATATATATA